TGTCACACGGTGGCTGGTGGAGACCCTGGGACTGAGAGGATTCCAGCGGGGCCCCTCCCTGAGTTCTGCCCCTCTCATCGCTGTCGGGTGGGAGCCAGCCTTGCTGACGCTCAGGTTTGCTCTCCCTGAGCCTGCAGTGGGTGCTTCACACTGAGCAGGAAGAAGCAGGGCGGAGAGGGAGCATGAAAAACAGAGGGGCAGGAGAGGGGGGCTGCCTGAGCCCGGTGCTCACCTACAAGACAAGGGCAGGCGGCGCCCTCCTCCCCCACCTGCACAGACAGCCTCCTGACACCTGCCGCGGCCGCGCTAGGGCTCTGGATTGCGTCTGGGCTCCTTTGCTGTAAAGGAGCATCTGGCTTTTCTGAGAAGAAGCATCTGGCTCCTGTCCCGCCTTGTGTACCTCCGAACTCATCAGCGTGGTTCCCGTGTGGCCCCTTCTTCATAAGGATTTTGGGGCTGAATTATCAGCCGATCATTTCTCATCTGGGCCAAACCTTAAACAGCCTCCCTCTTAAAAGTGAAAATTCATTTTCTCTGAATTTCTTGAAATTTGCCTTCCTAAAGCACAACATACAATTCTAATCTGCCCCAACCTAAACTCTTATTTTGTTTAGAATCTGAACAAGTCAACTCAGCTCTGAACTATATAATTGTCTATAATTTATATTGTCTCAGCCACTATCCTGTCCCTTATTACAGGCATGTGCAATTTGAGGGCCGTGACCTAATTTTACACATTTATCAGCCCACAGTACATGGCACTGTCCTTGACTACTAATGAGTATAATCAACAAATGACAAGGTTTTATCTTCAACCCCAGATTTCCATCATAACATCAAAGACACTCAGAACTGAAAAGCACCCTAGACCTTGTCCTGTCTTCCAACTTCCGTCCCGGGCAGAACCCATCCTGACTGCACCCAGCCTGACTGACGCTCTGGGGGCTGGGGCGCTCCCCCATCGGCAGCGGTCTCTGTGCAGCAGACTGGCACTCTCTCCGCCTGCGCTTCCTATGAAAACATTTCGTCACCAATTTCCACTGCAGACAGGTGAGCCTGGCCCATCCTGCACTGCCCCCCCCCCCGGTGCACTGCAGTCCCCAAGGGCCCCTCCAAACCCTGCTCATCTGACTCAGCCTCGCTTACCAGCCTGGCATCTGAGGCACTTTATGCCACCCTGCTATGTCTCTGTTTCTTCATGTATCAATTCCTACCTCGATTAAACAAGCAAGCACATCAAACACTGGCCTACAGCGAGAGCTCAGGAGTTCCTGCTGGTGCGAGTGGAGGGTGACAGCAGACACTGGCCTCACTGGAGTAAGGTGGGCCAAAATCACAAGCAGGGTGTCACACTGAGGAGAACTTGGAGCAGTGATTTAAGGGAGAAAATGAGGGAGTTCAGAGAAGAGTGAGGTCATTAGGCAAGTGCCTTTGGGTAGGAAAATTGAGTTTTTTTGCTCAACTATAAAGCATCAATTTAAAAACTAGCAAGCCTAGGGGGAAGAGCAGGTAAGTAGGACCACTTCATTAAATGCATGATTTGAAGTAGGTTAAAAACCACGCCGGGGCAGAAACTTAGAGACCCAGAACCTGCCCAGTGATTAAGCATTAGCTGACAAAGGATGCAAAAACAAGGAAAACAACTCTAAATACGGGCAAAGTGCCCGGTGAGGTGGTCTACCCCATAACTGTATAAAAAGCCTATTTCTCGCCAGTACCATTGCCTGAGAGTGCAATAAACTTCCTTCTTTGGCTTTTACTCTCGTGTGTGTGTTTTTCTCTTTCTCATTCGCAAACCCTTTCAGGCAGGAACTGAGTCCCCAGGTTTATGAGGAGTGGAGTAACAGGGTCACAGCAGCAGGACTCAAAAACAAGAACCTCTGCTGTGACGGGAAGGCTGGAGCAGAAGCAGAGGAGCAGACAGGAGCCCACGCCAGCTCAGTTGTGCAGGGCTAACCTTGCCACCTGCGAGTTTGAGTTTTTGATTTGTTTAGTCTCATGCTGGGCAGTCAGTTAGCATATGTAGCTGCCACGGGATTGTAGGTCTAGAGAACACCTCCGGTCCCCATCCTAACACACACTCTGAAAATACACACGGTTTCCAACTGTAATGGGCCAGAAAACAAGCAACCACCTCCTTAATCCATCACCCACTCACCTATTCATCCACTCATGAATACACCTGTTCTCCACATAGGCGCAGCTACTGATTGGACTGGGTTTTGCGCTAACTTGGTAATGAACAAGACACATCCCTTGTTCTAAAAGGGTTCACAGACCTCTGAAATAAGCAGATCCACAAAAAACTCTTACATTAGACAGACTCTTAAGTACCACAAGAGAGAAATGAGTGAAATTCTATGCCAAGGGTTGAAAACTGGATGCAAATCAGGCTGTGTTTGGCCAGTAAATGTCTTGTTTGGCCCACATGGCATTTTGTTATTTTTACATTAGATGCCAACACTTTGAAATTAGGACATTTCATATAAAAACCCAGATTCTTCGCTTCGGGTGAAAATGGGATTCTCTGACACACTAGGCCAAATTCCTACCTGTAGTAACGGTCAGAAACTGAGCAGCAGCTGCCCATTTACAAGGAGAGCATGAGCTCTACAGATCGCCACACTCCCCACAACTCCCTATTACTGTCTCACATCAAGCCAAATTTCAGTTACCAACTTGTGCTGTGGGGCCTTTTATTTTTTTTAAAGATATACTTACTTATGCATATGAGAACTGGGGTATAGGCCAGGGGTGTGGGAGTGAGGGATGAAGGATTCACCATGGACAGAATGAGGAACAGAACAGGCAAACGTAAATACACTGCTGACAGGAGCAGGGAATGAGACAGGAGAGGTCTGCTGTGCCCTGTGGGTCAGTTCCCTAGCCAGGGATCCAACTCACGCTGCAGTGGCTGCAGATAGCTTCATAGTGCTGTAATTAACCTCTTGCACCACCAGGGAGGATCCGGTGAGGACTTTTATAATATGAATTAAAAAGAAGGGCCCTCCCTGTTGGTGCAACGGTTTAAAGCACAGCACTATGAAGCTATCCGTAGCCACTGCAACATGAGTTTGATCCCCGGCCAGGGAGCTAGCTGACTGACCCACATGGTGTGGCAGACCTCTTCTGATCTCCTCCCCTCATCAGTGTATTTCAGTCAATCTGCCTGCTCTGCTCCTGACTCTGGTGAATCCTCTCACCACCATGCCCAACCTCTGGCCTGTACTCCTGTTCTCATATGCATAAATAAGTATAAAAAATTAAAAAGAAAAATTGTTTTCACTCAAGACTTTTAAAAGTGGAAGATATAATAGCAAAATTATATGTTTCCCCAAAAAGCGGGGTAGAGATTACACTGAGGGAAACAGAAATCCTTGTGTTTAAGATGCAAACAAACATTTCCCATTTATGTTGCCTCTCTGACTCCTGCAGGCATTTGGCTTTGCAGCTTCTGGAACAAGGGGAAAAATTAACATTATGGCTAAGAGCCTTCTTGGCTTTGGGTGAGGAAGCTAGTTCCTCCACTTACTTTGTGACTTGGCAAATCATTTACCCTCTCTGCTTCCTCAGTAAAGTAGAGGTAGTTATAGCACTTGCCTTGATGGGCTCTTATGGGACTACAATGAGACAAAAAATGTAAAGTTTTTAGCCACTGTGTGCAGGCAGTAAGCATTAGCTATTGCTGTGCAGAGTACAAAAGAGAGAGCAACCATCTCCAAAGGCAGTCTTAAAGGATTTCAAAGTGAGCAGAGGGAAGAAAGCATGCTCTCCACAGAAATGCCTAAGACAGACTGGGAAGTTTTCTGTCCCTGGGGCAAAAACAGAGGCTTCACTATGAAGCAGAAAAGGTGCTCTGGGGAGACTGAAAGGCAGGCTGAGGAGAACCACTCCAAAGTCAGTATTTCCCAAAATGTATCATCACGATGGATTTAGGTGAGGAAATACATAATCAATCACTTCCAGTCATAAGGGGAAGAAGTCATCTCTCTCCATTCTCTATCAAACCTGCCTCGGGCACCCAGGAGAGATACTGGCTTGGAGGTCTCCATCTCATCGCCTCTGACCGCATCTGCTAAATGCCCAGTGCGGTGGGCAAGAGTTCCAGGCTGAGCAAAACTCCGAGCCACAGCACCCAGCTGCGACTTGGGAACAAGGCTCCTCCCAACTTCAAATTTTACAGGTGTCCTCAACTGATAGCTGATTTTCACAGCGCGAGTAACGTTTCCTTGTAAAATGTAGACAAATGTAAGAGAAAATAAGCGAGACAATTTACAGGGAAAAGTCAAGTTAACCGCGCAGGGCGAACACCTGTGGCGTCTGACAAACACTCGTGGGGGTACAAAGAGCCCAGGACCGACTGAGCGGGGAGCCACAGACCTGACCGCGACTGTGTGTGTGTACATCGCCCTGCCTCGCGCCTGATGCACCCCTCTGCCCCCCTCTCCGGGCCTCAGTTTCCCCCTCGCAAAGGAGTGGGAGCGCGACCTCCCCGCTCCACCGCCAGCGCTCTGCAGCCTCAGGCCAGGCCGCAGGCCCGTTGCCCTTGGCAACAGCGGGGTTCAGGCAATGGCTCCCGCCAGCCCCGCCGGGGCTCGGCCCCCCGCTCCTCCCGGACCGCCCGACTCCTCACCACTGCTCCGCTTTATCTCTCCACGTCAACACTGCCCTCATCGCGGCTTCCTTCACGCCTCGGGCTCCTCCTCCCGGCCTCAGCAACCGGCCCCGCTTCGCTAGTCTCTCAGGCGACCTGCGCTACCCCTGGCAACGCACATGCGCAGTGAGCTTCGCGCGCGCGCGCGCGCGTGTGACTGGGAGGTCCGAGTGCGCATGTCTGAAACGCTCGGCTAGGGAAGCCCAAACGCCAGTCGGCGTGGGAGCTTGGAAGGCGTCTGCGCAAGTAGAGGGCACTGATTCGTCGGAAATGAGGGGGAGGCGGGATGTCTTCCTGGCGAGGGGTCTGATTGGCGGAGATGCGGCAAAGGCAAGGGGGCGGAAAATAAACTGCAGGGTACTGAGGCTTCATCCCCTTCAGCTTTGGGGTTCAGCCCAGCGCTGTGAGATCGAGGGGTTTTTACATTTTACTTCACTCCAGGGCGTCGCACCTTTCGGCCGGTTGCTGTATCCGGAGCTAGCTGGACGGTCACGACTGGGATGGAGAGTTCCAGCCCGGGGGACTGCGGAGGTGCCCCCTCGGCCACCTCCCGTGAGCGCCTAGTCACAGATCAGCCGTGTGACCTCCGGCAAGTTGCCCGCCTTTGAGCCCCGGTTTCCCCAGCTGCGCAGTGGGACCGGGGAGTAGAAGGTGGATGGGCCACCTGGGGTGGACAGAGACCCGGAGACCCACAGGTTAAGTGCGGGGGCTGGAGCTCTGGTTCTCTTCGGATGGTGTCAGCCCTGGGCGCTCGCGACCCCGTTATCCGCAGTGTCGAGGGGGCTGGGAGGTTTTGTGGTGCAAGGTGAGATCTGCTTGAGTTGGAGGGTCCCGGGAAAACGTTGGAAAAGGACACATCTTAAATAGCCAGGGGCGACCCGGAAGTGAGTTGTCTATTTGTGAATGTGCGATTGAGATTAAGGTGATTTAACAACATTTTCTTTTCAAAGTTTAATTCCTCAGAACTGCCACAGGAGAGTTATCACCTCCTTTTTACAGCCAGAGAAACGAGACTTTTGAGAGAATCAGTAACTAGTTCTTGGACACACAACTAGTAAATGGCAGAGGGGGATTTCAGGCCAGTCTTGATTTCAGAGCTGGTGCTATTTTGCCAGGTTTCAGTTTCCAAATCTCCAAAATTGTGAGTAATGTTTTCCAGATCCCAATTAAACTTAACCCCCAATTATTTCAGAAGACCTTGATTCCAATTCCAGTCACTAGCTCTTGCTTAGTTAACCCTATTTATAGAAATTGGTTTAGACATCTCTACCGACCCAGCTAACTTTTAATCTTCTTGTCACTCAGTTTTATCAGTGAAGAAAGTGAGGGTTCTGGTCTGCCTCAAGAACCCGTTGCTCCTGCGCAGTGCGACGGTGCTGCCGTCACAGAACACCGGACACCTGTCCCGTGTGGATGGGAAAGACTTGTGAAGCAGCGACTGTCTGGGAAAACAGCAGGAAAATACGATGTGTACTTTATCAGGTGAGCCTGCAAAGTGGTAAAGGCATCATAGCCAGAGGGTTTTCTCCAAGCAGGTAATGGGAGAGCACAGCAGGAATCTTAGCCTCTTCCTACCTGCTCCAGAAAATTGTTACAGATTCTGTTTCTTCAATGTCATTGCTTAGTTATAGCAAATGATACGGGGATTAGTACATACATTTCCTGTAACTGTGAGTTGATGCTAAGTTGCACTTAGTTGTAGGTAAAGTAACTTGTACTAATTTGATAGTAGTGAAACTATTTAAAAGTTTTGTTACTTTTTAAAATTTTAAATGACATGTTTGTGGCAGCATTTGGAACTTACTAATTAACAGTTGGAAATGTGGTTCATTTCTTCTTAAGAGTCACTTTTACTTACTAGTATTGTTTTCTTTAATGTTATTTTCTAGCCCTCAAGGAGTCAAATTCAGATCCAGAAGTTCACTTGCTAATTATCTTCACAAAAATGGAGAGAATTCTCTTAAGCCAGAAGATTTTGATTTTACTGTCCTTTCTAAAAGGCGCTTAAAGTCAAGATATAAGGACTGCGGTGGGGCGGCTCTCACCTCCCAGCTACAAAAGGATAGTAGAAGTTCAGGCCAGACCCTCAGGACACGAAGCAGGCAGAAAAAAGATGTGCTCCCTTTGCCAGGGGGTGGTTTGGAGTTAAAAGATAGCAGAGGATTCTCTAACTTGACTTCCATTCGTTTGCTGAAAGAAGGAGATGGTGTGGATGGTGTGGACCCCAGAAAGGTTACAAAGTCCCGAAGAAAGGTGACTGCTTCGAAAGGAATTAAAATTAAGAAAACGAAAGCTGGGTGCCAGAAGAGTCTTCCAGATTCAACCCCAACAAACACAAAAGGAGAATTTGCGTGCTGTAAAGCAGAGGCTGAAAGTGAGCCGGCTGCACAGGAGAGTCAGCTTGATGGGGCTGCCGAGGCTGGCCGCAGGGCAAGCAAAGACACCCTGGGCAGGACCCCTGAGGGGGAGCCCCAGAAGAAAGAGTGTTCAGGAGCCGATTTTCTTTGTGAACAAACAACTTCTGGCAACGTAAACAAATTATGTTCAACTAAAGAAGCAGAACCCAGTGAACTGTGTGAAGATACCCTTTTAGAACCTGAAGAAATAAGAACAAAAGTGGAAACTGGGGAAAGGAAGGGACATTTGCATATCGATGACTTCAAAGGCGACACTGAAATAGGCTGCAGCTGCTCACAGGTGGAGAAAAATTCCACCTCTGAGAAACTGTGTCAAGGTATTCAGTGTATTAAAGTGCTGTAGACTTGTGACGAGCCCCTTATACTCTGGATACTGTATTTCATGCCTGTACCAGTTTGGAGGTAGGAATAGAAGGAAAATCCATTCTATCACTTGGCCCAAACTGGCATCCAGGCCCTTTCCTCTGGCAGAGAAGGAATCAGCCTGCAGTGCGCCCCCAGCAGAGGATATTTGCATGCCAACAGCCGCTGCCATCACTCTGGTGCAGCAGCTGAGACTCACCTTACAGCTGTCCCTCCCCAGCCAGTAACCTTAAGGCTTTAGGAGAACTGAAAGGGCTTCATACTTGAAGAGGTTTGGGGCAGACACTTTGTATACACACCCCATAAATAGGTCAAAAAGAGGGTCTTCTTTTCACGCTCATGCTGTTACTTATTACTCATGTATGACTTCCAGCTTAATTTTGTATAAATCATGGTCATTTTTTTCTCCTGTTATAATGCAATGCTTCTCTAAAATACTTTAGCGTTCTCAATAATTCAAAACTGTAATCACATAGTTCATCTATTATTTGTAATATGCTCTTAATACAAAGTTCAGAGCTTAGCAGTTTGCCTTTATAATACCTCAGTGAGTAAGAGATAAAAAGGAGACCTTTTGAGCAGTCTGTATTAGTTATTCATTATGCCATCATAGTATAATGAATAACTCCTTTAAAGAAGAATAGCAACTTGTACTTAAAGTCCTGAGGGGAGACAGTCTGGACAAATTGGTGGTGCAGGGGTTTAGACTTGACTCCTGCACTCAGGCCACTCATCGCTTTGTCTCTGCTGTGCCTGGAGTTTCTCCACCTTTCACAGAACACAGTCATAGGCACCTAGGAATGACATGCGAATTCTTCAAGTCTTCAGCTTCGGAGGGCTTCAGAAAGCCTTGAAGCTTATAGAGGCTTCTTGCTTTTATAAAGAGCAACTTCAACACTAAACACACACCACAGTGGACATATTCTGTGCATCCTGTACATAAAGCAGCCTCGCTCCCTACCTTTGGTGATGTTCCCTTCTGCTAATAGATGTCCAGTGGAATAGTACAGGCCTTCCACTGACTGAGAGTTGCCAGGTCAGCTGAGCTCAGTCTCTGAGTCTTAAAGGAGATTAGTTATTATTCACACGAATTCATAGGGAAAGTGATTAAGCAGCTAATAACGTTTTTGTCCTAACTCTTTGACTAGGTTTTACCTACGTGACCTAGAAGAGCTAAAAACACCAGGCTGATTATCTGGGGCCCGGGATGCTTGTTCCAGCCCATAGTCAATACCACTATCATTTTGAGATTAATGTTTAAGTCTTAGTGTCTTCACCTGTAAAACGGAGGAAATAACCCTCATTGGTCCAGCTCTTTGCAGCAAGAATATTGTAAAGTAAAATGAGAAGTGAAAAACCTGATATTGAAATGTAGAGGGTCTGGCTGAAGACAGTCTTAAATATGGTTGTAGAAATTCAAGGAACCTGAAAACTAACTTAGGTCAAATGTCAAATGGTGGTTATATTAACTGAGCTTCCCAGTGAAGTTTGGTTTCAGATTCTGTTTTGTCTAAACCAGCACCTACTCAGCAACAACAAAATTATACCATTTTGGTTTATATTATAGCTTTTTTTTTTAAATTAAATTGAGCTCATATGTCAAAGACTGCTGGTTTCACTTAAAAGTTCATGACATGAAAAATCTTCATGAGTATAATTTCAACACATGTAGTGACCATGGTGTACAACTATATTAAAATGTTTCCTATTCCAAATTTTAAGAGCATGGACTCCAAATATAAGTCATAGGGAACTCGTGTAACAGAACTGCCAAGGCGTGAGCCTGGGAGTCAGGAAACCTAAATTTGAATTTCAGTTTTGACACTAGTTGTGTGACTTTGGGCAACTTGGCCTCTTACTATCTCAATTTCTCGACCTGCAAAGTGGAGATAAAATTGTACCTAGCTCATAGGACATTAGTAAGGTTAAATTGGTTAATTTTGTAGAATGCTTAGCTTCCTGCCTGGCACCTAGTAAATGTTTCGTAGGATTGGGGTGTTTTTACTGTTATTAGCATCCTGAATATTTCTTTATGCTAAACATAGATTTTATAAACAGTGCTCTTCCTTTTCAGAAGATACCATCCCACGGACACAAATAGAAAAAAGGAAAACAAGCCTGTATTTTTCCAGCAGATATAACAAAGAAGGTATCCCTTTTCCAACCAGAAAATCCAATTGGAAGTCTCTTGCAGGCTTTCAGCACTGACGCTGTGTCTGTTTAGCCCTTAGCCCGCCGAGACGCAAAGCCTTCAGGAAGTGGACCCCTCCTCGCTCCCCTTTCAACCTCGTCCAAGAAACACTTTTTCATGACCCGTGGAAGCTCCTCATCGCGACTATATTTCTCAACCGGACCTCAGGTTCGTGGGTTCTTCCGTCTTTATTTTGGTGGAGACAGTGTGAGGAGAGCAAGTGTTGACCTGAGGAAGAGGCCTGGGGTCCAGGTTTGATGCAACACCTGGGTGACCCCCCCAAGGGGTGAGTAGGCTTCCCCTGGGAGCTCTTACTCGGCACGAGGAGCAGAGTCTCATTTATTCTCAACTTCCAAATTATGATCACCCATAAAAATCAGGCACTTGGCACCCTCATTCTTTGGCTGCTTCCCAATGGAGTAATGGTATTGGTTTTTGACCCTGAAAGTGGCCGCTGCTTCAGGTCATGACCATTCATGGTTTAAAAAGAAGAAGCAGGCCCTCCCTGGTGGCGCAGCAGGTTAAAGCACTGCACTAAGAAGCTAAAGCCACTTCCACATGAGTTCGATTCCCGCCTGCCCCGGAGGTGACCACATGGCGTGGCAGACCTCTCCTGACCCGCCCGCTGCACCCCTCAGCAGTATAGTTCCTCCATCTGCCTGTTCTGCTCCCCACTCTGTCTCTGGTGAAGCCTCTCGCCACCCCTGAGCTTCTGGCCTGTACCCCATTTCTGTATGCACAAATAAATAAATCTTAAAAAAAAGAAGAAGAAGAAGAAGCAAAAAGCACTCTATGATAAATTTCTAGATGAGGAAATACCAGGCCCTAAAACCGGTCTGTATGGGAGCTTCATTCATGCAGTTATCTTTGCTTCCCAGGAAAAATGGCAATCCCTGTGCTTTGGGAATTTCTGGAGAAGTATCCTTCAGCCGAGGTAGCCAGAACCGCAGACTGGAGAGATGTGTCAGAACTCCTGAAACCTCTCGGTCTCTACGACCTTCGTGCAAAAACCATTATCAAGTTCTCAGGTACTTTCCCACTGGGCCAAGGAAAAACTTAAACAAAGCTACTTAAGAAAGCCACACCTTAAACTTTAATGTCCCAGCTGTCACACTGATAGAGGTCATTAAGCTCAAGCATTGAAGGCATTTAAAACACAGACCCATTGCCCAAACCACAGTCTCACTGATGCTTGCAGTAAATCTTTGCCCAAGACTGGCCAGCCCACTTGGGCAGAGTCAGAGGAAGAAGACAGTGAAGCAGAAGCCCACGTGACCTTGAGGACATTGCCACTGTCTCGTCAGCACGTCAGCACAGCACAGAATAATAACGATTAGTAAGTGCGGGTGGGAGGTGCAGATAGAGGTGAGTGGAAATCCAGAAGAAAAAGCATTCACAGTTGGGTGCTTAGGAAGGCCTTCCTCTCCTTTTCTGCTTCTGTCCCACCAGACACCATTGCTACCCACTTGAGGGGTGTGACTCCTAGCCGCTCACCTGAGATGTGGCTGTTTTCCCCCAGATGAGTATCTGACAAAGCAGTGGAGGTACCCGATCGAGCTTCACGGGATTGGCAAATACGGCAATGACTCTTACCGAATCTTTTGCGTCAACGAGTGGAGGCAGGTAAGGCCCACCCCCAGCCAGAACTTCTCTGGCTGAGTTCTTCTCGAAGATCAGAGACATCTGCGAGAGTGTTTCTTGGACAGAGGTGCCATGACCGTTACCACCGATTCTGTGCCCCACTTGAGGGGCAGCAAGTGGTGCAGGGCACCGTTCTGATGGCCACGTCTCCAGTGCGCTGTCACCTCTGGCGCTATTGCTGTCACGGCCACGGTGGTCTCTGAGCCGCTGCAGTTTGCCTCCTGGCACTGCCTTCAGAAGCGCACCAGCCGAGGAAAGCAGGCACTTTGGGGTTTCTCCTAGAGGTCTTAGGTGACGCTTGTGTGCCGGGTCCTGCCAGGCTGTGGAGTATGCCTAGCTCACAGGCAGCGGGGTGGTGGCGTGGAGCTGTGGACACTGCCAGGTGGCCTGGTCACTAGTTTCCTCGTCTGTGACTCACCCCAAAGCACTAGCCCGTAGGTCTGGCCACGCCTCTTCCTCTGCACCACTTACTGGACCTGAGCTGTCCACTGAACACTCAGGGTCTGTGACCTCTTCTAGAAAGGAGAGTGTTATGTCTGAGTGTACCCTGAGCCCTGGCGAGCAGCCCTGCTGAGTCAAGAGGGATTTTGTGAAGTGTAAAGGGTTACCTTCCTGTAAGCTAGAGGTCTAAGTATCGGTGAAGCCCACTTGGTTAAAGGTAACTTCCAGGTATATGATCGTCAGGTACTGTTCTTCTACCGTATCTTAAAAGCTAGTCTGAAAAATGTATCTCTGACCCTGACATAAGGCCTCTGTCTCCTAATGTGCTTTATTTTTCCAGGTGCACCCTGAAGACCATAAGTTAAATAAATACCACGACTGGCTTTGGGAAAATCATGAAAAATTAAATCTGTCTTAGCACTCTTTGACATTTTCAAACTCATTCTTTAGACGTTGCTCTGCGCTTTGATTCCTCGGAGCTCTGTTAAGCACAGGCGTGTGGATGTCATCAGCCCAGTCAGAAATCTGATTCTGTTTTCTTAAGGCTCATGCCACTTGACAGAGCTTTGCTACTGAACATGCCAGAACAGATTTTGAGGTTTTTTAATAAATTGTAATTTGACAACAATCCTAACAATGTGTATGATGTTTCCCATAATGAAATATGATTTAAAAAGTGACAGTACCTTTTCTGAATGGTCAATAACACAAATTTTATAAACCTGGCTTAAGGAAAAGTTAGCCTTTGTTCTCTTCCTATAAAAATGCTGTCGTACAATTGTCATACTAAAGGACTACAAAAGGAGGCCTTCCGGTGGGGCAGGGGTGAAGTCTCAGCACTGAAGCAGTCCACAGCCACTGCAGCTCGAGTTCGATCCCCAGCCAAGGAGCTGACCTACAGGGCGCGGCAGACCTCTCCTGACCCACCCGCTGCTCCCCTCAGCAGTGCACTTCATCAGTCCACTTGTTCTGCTCCCCACTGCCTCCGGTGGGTTCTCTCACCTTCCCTGCACCTCTGGCAGGTACCCCAGTTCTGTATGCCTAAATAAATATTTTTTTTTAAAAAAAGGAGTAAGGTCTGGAGACAAGATGAGCAGACACGGCAACTTAAAGAGGGCCACTGAGGCCCTGGGCAAGAGCTAGAGTTAGAGGCAGGCAAGCTCGCCCAGCTCAGGGCAGTGGGGAGGCTGGGCACTGCACAAGCATCGTCATGAACTCCAACACATTTTCATCACCCCAAAAAAGAAGTCTTGTACCTATTAGCAGTCAAACCTAATGGCTCCCTCTCTCCTTTCTGGAATCTGTGAATCTACTATCTGTGCCTAATCCAGGCGTTTCCTATAAATAGAATTATTAAAATGTGGCCTTAAGTGGCTGGCAGCTTTCACCTTACCATCTTCAAGACATCTACATTGAACACATGTCAGTACCTCGTTCCCTTTTCATGACTAAATAATATTCCATCGAATGAGTAGACCACATTTTCTTTATTCATGAAGCTGATGGACCTTACAAGTATTTGTTCTGATGCCCTGTTTTCAGAGTCTTAAGCCCGTGGCTCGGGGTCATAAGCGGGTCAAGTCACCAGAACAGAGTCTCTGGGACTGGCACTCACCTGGCTTCCAACAACCACTTACCAGGAGTCAGGGCCTGTTTAAAGAGAACGCCCAGACCCAAAGATAGTCCTACGCTTTACTAGAAAATCAGGGACACAACTAAGAAATCCGTGTTTCTGGCAGCCGGGATCTCTGCCCACACGGGTGGCTGCCTCCGGGCGGGCGGGGCGTCCTGTAGTCCTGGCAACCTGGCAACCCGGCTTCCAAGCGGCTTCCAAGCACGGCGAGTTGAGCGTCTTTCGAAAAACCTAGAAGGAACTTGCCCCGCACTTTGGGCCCTCGCTCCGCGAGCAAGCTCGGTTAGGCTGACTTCCACACCTCCTCCCAGCGCCGCGCCCATGGAAATCGATTCCCCTGAAAAATACCAGGCTCTGATCTTGTCACTAATCGGTAAGCTGCTGGGGAGCAGCGCCCGCCTCCACCGCGCCCTCAGACCGGGCTCTCGCTGCTGGAGGGGTTCTGTGCACCTCCTCTGGCTGAGGGGAGTGCAGGGGTGGGCGGTCCTCCCCGCTGTTCGCACATTTCCAAGACTGGGCTGGAGGAGGGGGTCAGGGGGCTGTGGCTTGGAACCATAGGGCCCGGTGTGCCCCGAATGGTGTCTGGACTCTGACTGGCCCCGCGGTTTTGAATGTGCTGGTGCCGGAGATGCGACATGAAGACAGCCTGTCTTCAGACTCCCAGCCAAATGGGGGTTGGGGAGGGGAATCCTTGTCAACGCCCAACAACGTCAGAGGTGAAGGCCAGACAGATAAAGGGAAAACTACAGACAAGGGGAGTGAATGGGGGGCAGAGGGGGCCCAAAGTGGGAGGTGGGCTGAATAGGGGAGGGGGAGACAGCTGGAAGGAACTGATCTGGGGGCCAGGAGGCACTCCTTGGAGGCATTCCTTTCGCTGGCTTCAGAATGGAAGTGATTCTGCAAACCAGGTGGAGAGGGAAGGCTCCAGAAACAGCCTGCCAGAGGTCAGAAGTGCTGGTGGATAGAGTGTCATGGAGATGAGAGAGGGGAGCATCAGAGGGGATAAAGCTACAAGATGCTGGGAGTCCGGAGGTGGAGGCCCCAGGGATGGTGTTGGGGGGACTGGGTGTGGGAAGTAACAGGGGAGACAAGATCTGGAACTGGTCCAAAGTCCAGGCCGAAGATACCCTGGCGAGGGGGAGAGGCCAGGCTAGTGGTGACTGCTTGAATAGTGGATACCAGTGGACACTGTATGTCCACTTTGTGCAGGGCACAGGGGACTAAAACAGTCAGTCCTTACCATCAAGAAAAGGAAAAGCCTCTTCCTTCAGAAGGTAAATGCTATGACAGGGCTAGGCGTGCGGTGTGTGGGAACCCCAGAGCATGAGGGAGAGGCTTCAGGGGTAGTGATGTCCGAACCCAGTCTCAGGGAATAACCAGGTGAAGCAGGGGGAAAGAGAGGAATGGGGGGGGGGGCAGGGGCAGGAAAACCAAGCAATGACTAAAAGCTGAACTCTGGGGTCTGGCAAAAGGTGCTCACGTCCTGGCTATTGTTTGTGATCTTGAGCCTCTCTGGGCCTCAGTGTCCTTACCTATAAAATAAGAATAATATAGTGCTAGCTTACTGGTCTGTTCATTTGTCATTTGCTCATTCCCCAAGTATTACTGAGTTCCAGCTCTTTGTTGGCACTGTGAAGGTGCTGGGAACCAGAAGGATGAGGTCTTGGTGCCCAGACAAATGAAAAAATAAAAATCTACCATGTAATCGTGCCAGGGGTTTCACAAGCAGAAGTTGACCTGAACCAGGTACCTGATGACGTAAGCTGCATGTGAGACGATAGGGGAGGGGAGGGCCTGTGGCAAACTGGAGAGGCTCCCGCCTGAAGTCACTCAGATCAGAAACACTCAAATCCGCGACAGTCAGACCAAGCAGGACCCCAGCGCTCACTCAGCCTAGGGGTTGCCCATTTAGAAGCTTGGAGTTAGACGTTCTTGAGATGAATAGTCTGAAGGAAAAACAAAGGTTGAGACATGCAGGGGTGACTTCTGGGAGGGGGAGAGCCTCCAGGGGAGAGGCCTGAGGTCTGGAGGATGAGGAGGAGTGAGGGGCACGTGGATGGGGGAGAGACAGCAGGTGTGCCATGGTCTCAGGCAGGATGGAGCCTGGGTCACTCAGGGAACGGAGACCTCGAGACGTCTGGGACCTGGTAAGGAAAAGCAGGGGAGTGTTGTGGTGGGCGAGGTCTGCACGGGAGGGCCCTGCGCTTGATTTGAAAGTCTATGGAAACGCTGTTAAAGGCGTAAGGGTGAGCATACTGAGAACAGAGAGACAGTGCACTTAGTATGAACAGAGCATCTCTGGATGGACTGGTTCTACACATCACCACGGCACCACTCAACCCGGTAGGTGTCAGCATTATCCAACCATTTTACACGGGAAGAAACTGTCCGGACAGGACAGTCACTTGCCGGAGATGTGTGGCCAGTCAGCAGCCGCAGGGCCAGGCCAGACCAGGCCAGACCAGGCCAGACCTGAGCATTCCGGCTCCAGAGCCTCTGATCTTAATTAACCATTCATGGTCCCAGGGGATCAAACCAATCCAGAAAGGCTTTTTAAAAGATGGTTCTGATAGCCAGGAAGGCGTAGTGGAGTGGGCAGGTAGGGTTAGAGAAGACTAAGTAACAGGAAGCTCATGAAGCCTCAGCATAGGGCCTGCCCATCACACTGGAGGGGATTAGCTTTGTCATCTCTTTACTGGCAATGATGAGCCTGGAATTGGGGGCCCTGAAGCCTAGCCCTGAAGCACTTTCCCTTCCTGATCCATGAGCCTCCTTCCTGAAAGGGACTCACCTTTTAACCCTCTCCCCCCAAGGGCTCTGTCGGTCCAAGGAGTCTCACGATGAAAGTGTCAGGAATGCCAGCAGAGACCCCGTCTTCGATGCCGAGCGGGTCACTGCCCACTGCTTCAAGCAGTTCAAGCAGGAGAACTTCTGCCTGCCCCAGAGCCGCCGGCGGATCATCATCTTGCCTCAGAAGGAGGACCCGGTGCCTGCTCCTCCTGTGCCCCAGCCCCAGGCTGCCCCGCAGCCCACCCCCAGGTTCAAAGCCCTGGGGCTGGAGGAGCCCCAAGCACCTCCAGAAGACACGAGGGCCTGGATGAGCCAGAGGCTGAAGCTTCGGCAGGACCTGGACTCAATTGGCGACGCGAGGAAGTGGCTCCTGCACAAGGCCAGCCTGACGCCCTCCGAGACCAAGGTTCTGGACAGGATCCGCAGGGAGCGCCAGGTCCTGCTGGAGAAGCCCCCGACCGTCACCCCATTCACCAAGGTGGTCAGCTCCTTCTTCCAGAAGACGACACTGAGGGTGTCTGGGGCGAGACAGGGAGGGTTCACCCCGGGTCACGGAGCAGGCAGAAATGCCAAGAGGGAGGACTAGTTGTGTAGGTCTGCATGGCACACGCCCCCGAGGATGGAAAGCAGCCACGTTTACCCTCTGGCAGTTTGAGTCAGCAGGCGGGAGGGCTCAGCGGGGGGCTCTGGCTCGTTCTAGTCTACAGTAGGCCCCACCTGCGGCCTCTGGAGCTTGACTGAGCAGGAGGCTCTGCTTCCAAGCTGCCTACTCACGGCTCTTGGCTTGCCCCCACAGGGGCCTCTTCACCAGGCTGCTTGAGGGTTCTCACCCCCGGGGTAGCGGGCGCCACCCCCGCCCCCCAGAACACAGACTGAAGAACAGGCTACAGCCTCCCCGACCTCATCTCGGGTCTCGGTTTCCCAAGCGCCTCACCATAGCATCCATCACATTCTGTGTGTGACACGCCAGCCACTAAGCACAGTCCACTCTGCAGGGGAGTGGGGGTCCTCCGAAGACAGGCCAGTGCAGAATTTGTGGTTGTATCTTCACAAGCACCCTGAGAGGGCTCCCTGGGACTCTGTATGGGGAGTTTTTAAATAGTCACCGTTCATTCGTTCTTCGAGTCCTGTTTGCTAAGGAAGGGCCTGCGTGCACAGACAGGGCACCTGGGAGCACCCCACTGTGAGGCTGCAAGACAGGGAAGACCGCCCTTTGGCAATAGTGGAAAGAGAAGCTGCCTGAGGCCAGCACGTGGGGACCAGGAGACAGGTCAACGCAGCCAGGCCCAAGGCCGCCCCGCGGCTCCCGCCCCTCACTGGCAGACGTCAGCGATGCCGACTCTGACATTTCTCCAGTTCAGGCGGATGAGGGGTCGGGTAACTGGGGTTTAAACCCGGCTCTACTGCTTCCTAGCTGTGCCATCTGGCCTCCGTTTCCCGTCTGTTACGTGTGGCTACTGACTCGCTGTATCGAGAACACTCTGCTTCTGTGAGAGCCGGTGGCTCAGCCTACGTGAGGGCACAGTGCGGCCTTTAGCAAGCTCTCCCTGAAGGCTCGGCACTTTGATCAGTGGTGCTTCTCGCCCAGGTCACGTGAAATGGCCCAAATTCTAGCAGCCTTGATGGCATCATGCTCAAACCCCAAATTTCACGAGTGTCAGCAGCCTCTCCCGGGCAGCACAGTGCCAGCCGCCACGCTCTGGACGGCCTGGAAGTCCGGCTCCACTGCCTTCCTGCTGAATGACCCAGGGCCAGTTGCTTCACCACTCTGAGCCTGTTTCAGATGCAGAAGGGAAAATAATTCCTCATTTTGTTTATTCGTCCAGGAGGCAATCCTGCCTCGGGAGGGCACAGTTAACCAGATTTCTTGGTCTTGCCCTCGAGGTGTTTCCCTGTCAGTGAGGGAAGCAGACAGGGCAGATTAATGCCACTGCAGCCTGCTCCGGGCAGGTACTCTGAGGTGGGTCCTGAGCAGCGACACAGCAGAGCTGGGGGCCAGGAGGGCCCTTGTAAACTGTCAGGTGCTGCACCAAGGTTAGGAAGGATTATTCCCAAATATTCCCTTTAACCTGCATCTGGAGCAGGGTGAGGACAGGGAGGGCGGGAAGGAAAGGTACTTCTGCAGGAGGCCCAGCAGCACAAGCCAGGAGGGGCAAGGGTGGGGGGCCACCTCCGGCTCCCTGCGGGGTGCGTTTAGAGCAGCCAGAGCCCCGTGGGCATAGTCCATCCCCCCACCTCCCCACCCCCGCCCCCCAGCTCTCTGTGGCAGGACACTGTCACCCCCTGCTGTCTGGGGAGTGATGCTCAGCCTGGCTGGCTCCCAGTTCTCTAACTCTGGGGGTCATGTCCTTGGCCTGGCTCCCCTAACTCTCTCCTACCCCATCTCTCGCCTCTTTCAGAAGAAAAGTGCCCGAGTTCTCCACCGATCAGTGCCCCAGCTCCAGCTGCCCAAGCCCCCGGCCCTCCTGGCCTTCTACTCCCACCTCCGCAGCCGCAAAGTCAAGATCCTGGAGCTGTTCCACAAGGTGGTGCGGAGCGAGAATCAGATCTCCAGGGAGGAGTTCTTTCTGGCTCTGAAGACGGTGAGTGCACCCCTCCTCCCCAGCTTAGTAGGGAGGGCTGTGCCCCCAAGCTCCCCCAGTGCGTGTCCTAACCCAGGGCCTGAACCCAATTAAAAGTCAAAGCGCATGGCCCTCCCTGGTGGCGCAGCAGGTTAAAGCACAGCACTAAGAAGCTAAAGCCACTTCAGCATGAGTTCGATTCCTGCCTGCCCCGGAGGTGACCACAAGGCGCGGCAGACCTCTCCCGACCCGCCCGCTGCTCCCCTCAGCAGTGTACTGCGTCAGTCTGCCTGTTCTGCTCCCCACTCTGTCTCTGGTGAAGCCTCTCACCACCCCTGAGCCTCTGGCCTGTACCCCAGTTATGT